CCACATGAGTCTTGCTCACACTTAACTGGGCTGCCTCTCTCTCTCTCGCTCTCATCACTCACTCAATCCATTCACTCCTGAATTTGCTTTTGGGCAGTTTCTCTTTATGGCTTTCCCCCAGAGCCCCAGAGATGAGGACCACGGGCCCTCAGATCCTGAACATAGCAGGGGTAAGCAGATGTCCTCAAGGACAGCTCTCCTTCAGCTACTCACCATGCTGGCCCGCTGCAGAATCACGGCAGTCCACGCTCATTACAGGGATTGTCCAGAACTCCCCTGGTCTTTGTAAAAGCCTCCTGCCTGCCTGGCCACCCCATAGAACCCCAGCCCTCTCACCCTATAGGAGCCCCTGTCCGCATCTTGAGCAGAAACCCCTCTCAGAACCTGTGCTGGACATGTGCCTGGCCCTACCTTGCTCAGAAGCCCCAGCCCTTGCCTCCCAGAACAGCTGCCCTCGCCTGACACTCTAAGGGAACCCTTTCTCTAATTAGTAACAGGACACCCATGCTGACCCTGGACAGGAGCATCAGCCCTCACCTTGCATCGGAAGAAGCCCTGTCCTCCCCTGGCACAGGAACCTTGGACTTAGCCTAGTTAGGAATCTTTGAGCTCACACTGTAAGGAAGCCCTGTGCCACCCCTTTAGAAACACCTGTTCTAGGGCATCTGGGTGGCTCAGTCGGTTAACCTGTTGCCTTTGGCTCAGGTCACGATCCCAGGGTCCTGGGATAGAACCCCACGTTGGGCTCCCTGTTCGGTGGGGAGTCTGTTTCTCCCTCTCCTTCTGCCCCTCTGCCTGCTTGTGCTCTCTCTCTCTCAAATAAATAAATAAAATCTTAAAAAAAAAGAAACACCTGTCCTGACCCTCTTCACTAGTCTCAATCTCTCTATAGAAATCCTGCCTTAACCTTGGACAGGACATTTCTGTCTTCACACTGTACTGGAGCTCAGACCTCCAGATAGCATTTTAGAAACACTTCCATCACAATAAAATCTAGTTCTGAACCACTGACCTAGCTCTCTCTGCAGAAACTCCATCCTCAACCACTTCAGGAACTCCGATTGACTATAGAAGCTCTTGCCTCCATTGCTGACAATGACCCCTGATGTCACTCTGCGCAACAATCCCTGATCTCACACCCTAACCTGTAGAGTCCACAAGAACCCATGATCCAACTCTTTTTTTAAAAAAAGATTTTGAGAGAGAGAGAGGAGAGAGCACGAGTGAGTGCGGGGGTGGGTGGGGTGGAGGGGCAGGGGAAGAGGAACAGAATCTTAAGCAGACTCCCTGCTGAGCACGAAGCCCAATGTAGGGCTCCATCCTAGGACCCTGAGATCACAACCTAAGCCGAAACCAAGTCAGACGCTTAACCAACTGCGCCAGCCAGGCACACCGCCCCCCTCCCCCCTGCCCCTGTAATCCAACTCTTTTTTTTTTTTTAAAGATTTTATTTATTTATTTCAGAGAGAGAGAGAATGAGAGATAGAAAGCACGAGAGGGAAGAGGGTCAGAGGGAGAAGCAGACTCCCTGCCGAGCAGGGAGCCCGATGTGGGACTCGATCCCGGGACTCCAGGATCATGACCTGAGCCGAAGGCAGTCGCTTAACCAACTGAGCCACCCAGGCGCCCCTGTAATCCAACTCTTAACAAGAACCTCAGACTTGAACTTACAACCCTTTCCTAAAAAAAGAAAAAAAAGTAAAAAAAAAAACCTTTCCTGACCCTGTGGCAGGGATGCCTGTCCTGATCCTCTACTTTAAGCCTAGACCTCATCTTATACAGGTACCTACGGCCTCACCTGGCAAAGGAGCCCCTACCCAGACACTGTACAGGGCTTCCTCTCTTTACCATGTGTTAGCTCCACAGCCCTGACCCCTACAGGAAGCCTTGCCTACAACTGTTACTGGAACCCTCTGACTGGACTCTCCATAGAAAACCTTTTCCTCTCAACAGAAATCCTTAACTCCACTCACAGGAATCTCTGGCCTGATCCTTTATAGGAACTCCTAACCTTGCTTTCTAGAAACATTCTCCTGACCCCAAACAGGATGTCCTGATGTGACTCTCTCTGACAGCCCTGGCCCCGGCCTTGTCCTGGAAGCCCCACCCTCACACTGTACAGGAACCATTATTCTGACTGTGGATAGTGACTGCCACATTGGACAGAACAGCTCTGTGGGGTCTATAGAATCCTGCAGCAGGCAGTGCTACAGGCTCTTCAAACCTGTGTTCTCCTAAGCTCACTCACTTTTCTGATCTCCTTTACAGTGAGATGTGGACATGTGACAGAGTTCTGACCAATGGAGTATGGGCAAAGTGATACACACCACTTCCAAGCCTGGCCCATAAAAATCTCTCATGGAATCCTTCACTCTCTCTCTTTTCCCATCTACCAGCTCAATAGTGAGAACTCTAAGGATTCAGAGGAGAGCAGAGCCACAAAATGGAAGTTGCCTGGGTTCCTGAATGATCAGTAATAAATATACACATTGGACTTTATATGAGTAAGAAATAAACATTTATTTGTTAATCCTCTAAAATTCTGGGTTTGTTACAGCAGCTAGCATAATTTGGCCCAACTGGGACGCCTGCGTGGCTCAGTCAGTTAAGCATCTGCCTTCGGCTCAGGTCATGATCCCAGAATGCCAGGATCGAGCCCCGCGTCGGGCTCCCTGCTCAGCGGGGAGTCTGCTTCTCCCTCTGCCTCTCACCCTGCTCGTGCTCTCTCAAAGAAATAAAATCTTTAAAAAAATTTAGCCCAGGGGTGCCTGGGTGGCTTAGTCGTTAAGCATCCGACTCTTGATTTCTGCTCAGGTCATGATCTCAGGGTTCTGAGATCGAGCCCCACATCAGGCTCCATACTCAGCATGGAGTCTGCTGGTCCCTTTCCCTCTGCTCTTTCCCCTGCTCTCTTTCTTTCAAATAAATAAATAAATATGATCTTTAAAAAAATTTAGCCCAATTAATAACAATTTGATTGAATCTAGACATGAACACCTGTTCCTACTGTCTACGTCAACATAGCTCTGAACCTGTACAGAAACACCTGTGCTGACCCTGAACTGGACAACCTGATCTCTTCATAGGAAACTCTTTTTTTTTTTTTAGATTTTATTTATGTATTTGACAGAGAAAGACACAGCAAGAGAGGGAACACAAGCAGGGGGAGTGGGAGAGGGAGAAGCAGGCTTCCCGCTGAGCAGGGAGCCCGACGCGGGGCTCGATGACCTGAGCCAAAGGCAGACGCCCAACGACTGAGCCACCCAGGTGCCCCTTCATAGGAAACTCTTAATGCAGTCTAAGGAGCCTCATCCTGAACTTGTATGGGAACCCCTAATCTGGAGCTCTCCAGAAACAACTGTCTTGTCCTGTATAGAAATCCCTGCTTGGTTCAGGAAAGGAACAAAGCTATAGAAACTACAGGAATCCCTGTCCTCACTCTGTCCAGGAACACTGGCTGACCCAGTAAACACCAGAAGTGACCTGACCCTGTCCATGAATCCCAGTCCTCACACAAAGGGAATACCTCTCTTCAGGAAGCATAGAAACTCTGCACTCATCCTGTAAAAGAACCCCAGCCAGATAAAGGAAACCAAAAACTGACATTCTACAGCAGGATCAGAAAGCTACAGCCTTCAGGCTAAAGCGAGACTTCAGCTGGTCTCTTCATGTTTAAAAAAAAAGATTTTATTTATTTGACAGAGAGAAAGAGAGAGCACAAGCAAGGGGATCAGCAGAGGGAGAGGGAAAAGCAGGGTCTCCACTGAGCAGGAAGCCCGATGCAGGGCTCAATCCCAGGACCCTGGGATCACCACCCGAGCGGAAGGCAGACGCTTAACTGACTGAGCCACCCAACTGCCCCGCCGTCTCTTCATTTTTAAAGGAAAGAAAGAATATGCCACAGAGACCGTTATGTGGCCTGCAAAGCCTAAAATATTTGCTATCTGGCCCTTTATAGACAAGTTTACTGACCTCTGCTCTTCAGGAATCTGTCTTCTGATTATACAGAAAAATGGGCCATGGGTCTTAAAGGCTCCCTTCTCTATTACTCTGCAGGCATCACAACCCCAGAATGTTCCTCAGTCTGTATCACATTTTCTTTGGTGCACATGGAAGTTTAAAGGTCTTAAGACTTGATCCTCTTCCACTGGGACCGAAAAAAAAAAAAAAAAAAAGTCCTGGTAGGAAAAGAGTGGAAGGAAAGAGAAGGGTGGAACTGAGGTTTTCAGAAGGGTCATAGGGCCAGGCTACTGGGCAGTGGGGCTGTCAATCTGTTTGTTAGTCAGCGATGCTGAACCCCAGACCGCTTATCTCTTCAGCCCCAGCCTCCAGCCCGGTAGGAAATGGTGAAGAATGAGCGAGGGAGATTAGGAGGGCAAACCGGCCTCCTATGGGGCTGATATTTAGACATCGAGACAAGGCGAGTGAGGGAGTTGGAGGGGCACACGGGTGCAACTCCCCCTACTTCCAAGCCACACGCTTTCTACTACAGTTTGGGGGCAGAGGTTACCCAGGGGAGGGGGCTGGAGGGAGAACTGCCGTCCAAGAAAAACTCCCCTCCTTGAGTCCACTCCAGCCCTGGGGACTATTATCACAATCGGCCAGATGAGGAAACCAAAGCACAGAGATGTTCAGTAACTTGCCCCAGGTCACGTGGCTAAGGCGCGTAACCTCAGTTTCCTTATCTGAGAAGCAGCCTTAATAATAGGAACTACCTCACAGAATTGTGGCTTACAATGCCCGTCACGTATTACTTGCTATCATCACAATTACTTGCCCCCGGTAAGACTCCTTCCATCCTACCATCCATTTTCCCGGCAGAATATCAGTCGCTTACATTTACTGAGTGCTTCCTGTGGGCCACCTTAGTGCATTTTAACTCAGAAAATCCTCACAGTATTTAACATCATCACCACTCCCATTTTGGCCGCCACCAGCCAACCTCCTGTTTCAACCTCACTCCGGGTCCCTGTCGCCAGCCCGCCCGCGCTACGTCATCACAGCGCGCCGCGCGGGAAGCCGCCGGGAGGAGAGGAGACGCCCCTTCCTAATTCCCTCGCTTGCTCTCTTGAGTCCTCGTGCGACACGACTGGCGCGGGTCCGGAGGACTCCCAAGGTGACTGGACAAGGACGGAGGGACAGCGGCCACGGCAGCCAGGACAACAGCGGCGGTGGTTGGGGGAGGGGCGAGCTTGAGCCTGAGCACCGCCTCGAACCGCCGCCGCGCACTTCACGCAGGCGCAGCACGGCCAGCGTCGCACTGGCGCGCTGACGTGCTGACGCGCTGACGCGCTGACTTGGCGTTGGTGAGCTCGCGGGAGGTGGGGCCTGCGCACGGGGCGTGGCCCTGTGCCACGACACGCGGTGTGGGCGGGATAGGGGCGGGCAGTAGAGAGACCGGCCCAATGGAAAAGAAGGCCTCAAGCACCCGCCGACCCGCAGGTCGCCGGGAATTTGGCGGCGGGAGCCCTGGGCGGAGTTTGAGAAAAGGCTGTGCCCAGTGAGTGGCGCTGAGGGGATTGGTCGGCGTTGACTACGAGGGTGGGAAGGGGGAGGGGACTGGCGGGAGGCAGCCCGAAACTGACTGAAGGGGTTTGGTGGAGCTTGAGGGTAGGGTTTGAGCAGGAGGTGGGATCTGGTGGAAGGAAAGGGGCAGTCCCCCGAGGAGCGGGGCCCGTTGAAACGTTAGGGGCGGGATCTGGCCAAGTGGAAGGTGCCGGGCCGGCCCGATAAGGGGTGGAGTTAAGTGGATCGTTAAGGGTGGAGTCGGGGCCGGAGCTGGGTCTGGGTCTGGCTGAGTGAAAGGGTGGGTGATTATCCTGGGAGATTAGCTGGAGGGGGCAGATTTGTGAAGGGGTGGGGTCTTCGCGAGGCTTGGAGGACCGAAAGAGTCTGGGAATGGGACTTGGGGAAGCGGAAAGGGCGGTGATCAGCTAGAGAGGGCCGGCCCTAGGACGGAGCGAGCCCGGGGGTTTATTGCTCCGTGAAAGGGCAAGACTTTTCGAGGGGAAAGAATAGTGTTAAAGGGGTGGAGCCTAGTGCGATGGGCGGGACCAGGTGGACACCCCAGTGGAAGGAGAGGGCCTTGGAAGGGGCGGAGTTTGGAAGGCGGTGGGGAGTAGGCTAGCAGAAGGGATGGAGACTGTGTAGGGGGCGGGGCCTGGGGAGGGTCTGCGGTGTGGGGTTCTCAGGGCACTTCACCCCTTTCGTAGTCACCTCCACCCCACCCCCCAGAACGGCGTCAGGGGTGAAGTCTCCCCGACCATGACCTCCACCGGCCAGGACTCCACCACAACCAGGCAGCGAAGGAGTAGGCATAACCCCCATTCGCCCCCCCATGACTCCAGCGTCACCTCGGTGAGGCCCCAGACCTGCCCTGATGGGGGTGGGGGGTGGGGAGGAGCAGTGGGCCGTGCGCTGGAATCTGACCCTTCTCTCTGTTTGGCAGAAGCGAGGTGTTAAGAAGGGTGCCTTACTCCACTCCAGCCCTAGTCTAGCAGAGGTAAAGAAGAAAGGCAGAATGAAGAAGCTCAGCCAAGCAGCAGAGCAAGACCTAATCGTGGGCCTGCAAGGGCTGGTGAGAGTGGCCTGGCCTCAATGGGTTTAGCCTCCTGTGACAATCAGAACCCTGTGGTTCTCCCTCCTGGACAGTGTGGTGCGTGCCTTCTGCTCAGGCCCTAACCGGATCGGTGTCTCCCCCTTTTTTTTTTTTCCCCTGCAGGATCTGAACCTTGAGGCCAAGACACTGTCTGGCACTGGCTTGGTGTTTGATGAGCAGCTAAATGAATTCCACTGCCTCTGGGATGACAGGTGAGGCTGCGTCCTCCAGGCTGTCCCCCTGACCGCACAAATAAACACTTAGAGGCGGTTAGCAAGAATGAAGCTATTCTTCTGCTAGCCTAGAGACTGGAAGCAGATGATTTCGAGAGGTGAGGCTTAGGCTTGAAAAGATTCTTTTCATTTGGCCAACACATACTGAGTATGCACTGTGTTCTGGGAGTTGGTGATACAGACGTGTCAGACTGGACAGACAGGGTCCCTTCTCAAGGAGCCGATAGTCGAGTAGGAGAGCAAATCTTTAAACAGCCAACAGCAGTGGGAAGTGGTTAATGAAGGATGACTTCAGACTAGGGGATTCAAGAGTGTTTGATAGAGGACCCTAGACTAGCATCCGGGGTTCGCAGAAGGCTTCCTTGAAGAAGGACATTCACGCAGACCTGGAAGAATTATTACCTCCCATTTGCTCACACATGTTGTAATCTATCAGCAAATTCTTTTGGCTCCATGTTGGAAATGTGTTCACCGCTGCCGCCACCACCATCCCTCACCTGGCCTTGCGGAGGCCTCCTCCCTGGCCCCCCTGCCTCCACCCTCACCCCGCTGTCTGTCCTCCACACGCAGCCAAAAAAAAAAAAAAAAATAGGTACAAGATGACGTTCTCTTCTTTTTCTTAAGGTAGCTTTCAACTGAAATATAGTTGACCTACAGCATTACATTAGTTACGGTTGTGTTCTCTTTCTTAAAAATCCTTCAAGGGCACACCATTGCCCTCAAGGTAAAGTCCACATTCTTCATTCTGGCCTCTAAGGTACCACGTGATCTGGTGGCCCGGCACCTTGGTGACTTCATGGGCCAATCACTCGCTTCGCGTCATTTCACCCACGCGGGTCCCTCTGCTGTTCTTCCACCAGGCCAGGCGCTCGGCCAGCTCGGGCCTTTCCCTGGCCGCTCCCCTTTTCCAGAGACTCATTTCCACCTTCTCCCCTCGCAGTTGATGTTCACATCTCAAGGAGACTTTCTCAGAGAAGGCTCTGGCCACTCCCCTTCCCCCACACCTGCTCTCTGAGACATTCCTAGTCCGTGTCACCATTTGTTCATGATCGCACTTACGTGTGTCTGTCCCCAGTCCCAACAGAAGGCTCGTGATGGCAAAAGACTTCATTATTGCGTACATGTCTACCATCTCCTGAGGAGCTAAGGCCACTGCAATAGACAAAACAAACAGAACCCCTGCCTTTGCGGAGATTGCAATTTGGAGGGGGAAGACAGCCAGTGAGCCCAAAAGTGAAATGATAGAGTGCTTTAGCAAGAGAGGTGCTATGGAGAGACACCAACGTGGGAGGGAGAGTGGCAGAAAATGGTCAGGGAAGGCCTCGCCGATCTTTGAGCAGGGATCGGAAGGAAGGTGAGGGAGTGAGCCACAGAGACACCTGGGAGAAGAGTGTTCTAGGCAGGGAGAGGGGCTAGCCGAAAAGTCCTCGGTTGGATGGAGGAACAAGGAGAAGCCAGTGCGGGAGAAGCAGGCTGAGTGAGGGGAAAGCACTGGGAGGCGGCGCCTGAGAGGCAGTGGGGCCAGTGGTTCCTGGCCTTCCAGAACAGGTGGAGGACTTGGGCTTTGCCTCTGTGCAACATGGGAGCCATAAGGTGGTTCTAAGTAGAGGAGAGACGTGATCTGATTTGGGTTTTAGCCAGTGCTGTGCGGAGGAAGGGGCCGTTGGGGGAGCAAGGGCGGAAGCAGGGAGGCCAGTGAGGAGCTGAGGGCAGGAGCGCAGGCAGGAGGTTCTGGTGGCAGCAGGGGGGTGACAAGGAGAGGGGCAGGCTCTCGATGTATTGCAAGAACAGAGCCAAGCAGGCGCCAGGGTTGGCTCCGACGTCTCTGACATGACCAGCTGTGGAAGGGGGGATGGGCAAGATGTGTAGAGCAGAGGGGCCACTCACCCGTATCCGTGTGTGTGTGTGTGTGTGTGTCTGGATGTCTTATCAACCCAGCTTCCCTGAAGGCCCTGAGCGGCTCCATGCCATCAAGGAACAGCTGATCCAGGAGGGCCTTCTGGACCGCTGTGTGTCCTTCCAGGTGAGTCCCTCAGCTGACACGCTGGGTGGGTGGCGGGCAGGAGCTGGTGGAGCTTGGGTGCAACCAGTGCCTGAGCCCTTTATTCCTTGTGTCTCCCCAGGCTCGGTTTGCTGAAAAGGAGGAGCTGATGTTGGTTCACAGGTGAAGGCTTCCGAGCCTTGTAGAGGTGGGGAGGAGGCTGCCCCAGGCCAACCAGGGCAGGCCAGACTCTTTGGGAAAGGATATCATGGGCCCTGTGGCCTTGGGCAAGTTGCTGAGCCTCTCCGAATCTGAGGGTCCTTGCCTATCACATGGGAGCTAGCAAACAGAAGTTCCTCGGGAGGGTTTGAGATGCGGTGGGTGCTTAGAACGGTGCCCGCCATGTCATCAGCCCACAAGAGGCTATTGTTATGACAATCTAGTGTGTAAACAGACGGTGGGTGTGTGGACAGAGTGATCAGAGGTCCCCCCCCCCAGGACATTCCTGGAAATGAGGCTGGCTAGGGAAGAAGCAGGGAATATGTCCTATATCCCAGCTGTCCCCCCAGATTGACAGTTGAGGGGGCCTGACTTGACCAGGGTTCAGATGGGGAAGGGACAGGGCCCTGACTCAGGCCCAGGAGGGAGGCAGGCCCTTGAATCTCCTGTCTGTGTCCCCAGCCTAGAATACATTGATCTGATGGAGACGACCCAGTACATGAATGAAGGAGAGCTCCACATCCTAGCAGACACCTATGACTCAGTTTACCTGCATCCGGTATGGATAACAACCGTGAGAGCAGAGGGTGGTGGCAATCCCGGGGTTTCCCATCCCCACGCCCACCACATCCTGGGGAGGAGTAGCGGAGTGGGCAGGCTGCTCTCTCCCTTAGTCCCTCTCTGGCTCCCCACTGTCTCTTCAGAACTCATATACCTGTGCCTGCCTGGCCTCGGGCTCTGTCCTCAGGCTGGTGGATGCAGTCCTGGGGAACGAGATCCGGAATGGCATGGCCATCATCAGGTAGGACCCACCAGCATTTGCTTTTTTTGTATTTAAAAAGATTCCTCCCCTCAAATGTAAAATGTATTGCTATGGGTGGTATATTCACAGGGTTCAAGAGTCAAAAAGTACAAAAGGGGGTACCAAAAAAGTCTCCCACCCCATCCCCCAGAGACCTGCTTCCTCTCCTGGAGGTAGTCGTTGTACGTGTGTTCCCTGAAACCTTCTGTGCCTATTCATGGAGTAAATGCCATATTTCGTCGATGCTAAGATCTGTATTTCATCGATGCTAAGATCCGTATTTGATCATCTCGAGATCCAGATTCATCTTACAAACAGTGGCGTCTTAGAATTCATTTAGCAGCATTCTCTGCTTCGTTGCTGGCACGTGAACTCACCGTACCTCTTAGCATTGTTAGCATCCTGGAACTGGTGAACTTCGGAAGATACAGCCTTTCTCCTCCCTCCCCTTTCTCTTAGCCACAAATGGTGTTAGCACTGAACACGTGCATTTTTCACTTCTACATCTTGGCAAGCTCTTCTCGAACAACGTATGCTTTAGACCCGCGTGGAACGCCGCTATGCGAATGCATAGGAAGTTGGCCAGCCCCCTGGCACTGGGTGTTTTGGTTGCCCCCTGTCATTGGCCGTTTCCAAAACCTGTCACAGCAAATACCGTTATCCATTTAGAAACCTTGTAATTTCACCCCTTTTGTTATATGGGCTGTGGGCTAAGTCTCCAGGAACAGGATGAGTGTGAGGGTGTATCCGTTGATAATTTTTACTTTATTTATTTGCTTTTTTAATTTCAATTCCGGTATAGTTAACGTATGGCATTCTGCTGGTTTCGTGTGGACGACATAGTGACAAAAACATGAAACGGCTTCACTTGCATGTCGCCCTTCTGCAGGGGCCATGCTAATCTGTTTCCAATCTTAGTATATGTGCTGCCAAAGTGAGCCCTATGCATTGATAACTTTAATGAACATTATCAAATTTCCCTTGGGTAGAGAGCAGTAGACTGGGGGTGGAGGTCCCGGGGCCCCCGTCACTCAGTTCCTGGCCGATTGGCAGACATCGGCACTGGGGGCGTTGGCGGTCTCGAATTGGAGAGCAGGGGGGAGTCTGCCTCTGTAGAGGAGGACCCCCTCCCCAATCTGTGACCTCCCCTGTCCTGCCCAGGCCTCCTGGACACCATGCCCAGCACAGTCTTATGGATGGATATTGCATGTTCAACCACGTGGCCGTGGCTGCCCGCTACGCTCAAAAGAAGCATGCCATTCAGAGGTCAGCAGCAAGCTGCAGGGGGGTGTGATGCGGGTGGCGCAGGGTAGGGTGTCCTGGCCTGGGTCCTCCCCCCCCCACCAGATGCACCTTGACGCTCTTCTATAGTACCCCCCTCTGTCCTCCTCACAGGGTCCTTATCGTGGACTGGGATGTGCACCATGGTCAAGGAACACAGTTTACCTTTGACCAGGACCCCAGGTATGCTCCAAGGGCTGCCTTCGATGCTAGACTCCCAGCCGCCACCCCCTGCCCTTACGGGCCCAGCCAGAAGGGGCCCCGGAAAGGAAGGGAAGGCATTCATATTCATTGGGCCCGCCTCGGAACCTGGTTCTGTGCTGTTCCCTGCTCGTCTGCATTGTCGCTTAATTTCACTCCAAGGCAGGGTCTCTTGGGTTCCCCATTTTAGAGATGGGTGAACCGAGGCTTACACAAGGTCACACAAAGAAGTGGGAGAGACGAGATTTGAGCCCACGGGTACTTGGAGTTCTTGTTCACCAGTGGACCTTGGAGCTGGAGTGAACTTAAATTACTACTTTATGTTTCTGATTAGTACAACTGCCAAGTGTTTGTTTAAAAAAAAATTGGACAATACGGAAATGTCTAAAGCAGTGAGTCTCCTGTAATTCCTGTCACCTCCGAATAGCTTATTGATAGTTTAGGTTATATTCTGACAGAGTTCTTCCTTTAGGTGTATGAATATTTAGTGTTATCACTAACACACTGCGTAATGGGACAGTCCTCTCTACGTTCTTTGGCAGCTTGCTTTTTGCATTTAACAGCATGTCGTGGACACCTTTTCATGTTAGTGCCTCTAAAAAAGACACCCCGGTCTTTGTAAGGGCTGTTCAGTGTCCCACTGTATGGCTGTACCTCTGCTCATTTAGCCCTGGGACACTGATGGTGCTTCCCAGTTTTTGCTAGAACAGACAGTTCTACGGTGAAAATATATAATTTTATATATTCTATAATCTGTAGTTTTAAAATACATAACTTTGCATTTCTCCAAGTATATGTATAGGATGGGTTTCTAGTAGTGGATTGCTGGGTCAGAGGGTCAGCGTGCTTTATTTTTTATTTTTTTTAAAGATTTTATTTATTTATTTTTTAAAAATATTTACTTATTTGATAGAGAGAGACACAGCGAGAGAGGGAACACAGCAGGGGGAGTGGGACAGGAAGCCCGATGCGGGGCTCGATCCCAGGACTCTGGGATCTTGACCTGAGCCGAAGGCAGACACCTAACAGCTGAGCCACCCAGGCGCCCCTATTTTTTTTTTTAATTTAAAATTTAATTAGCCGGGCGCCTGGGTGGCTCAGATGGTTAAGCGTCTGCCTTCGGCTCAGGTCATGATCCCAGGGTCCTGGGATCGAGTCCCACATCGGGCTCCCTGCTCCTTGGGAGCCTGCTTCTCCCTCTGCTTCTCTCTCTCTCTCTCCCTCTCTCTCTCTCCTCCTCTGTCTCTCATGAATAAATAAATAAAATCTTTAAAAAATAAATAAATAAATAAAATTTAATTAGCCAACATACAATACCTCGGTAGTTTTTGACAGAATGTTCAATGATTCATTAGTGGCACTTACCAGACGTCCCTCCAGAAAGGTGGTACCGGCTTCCCCTTCCTGCAGAAAGTGATTGAGCAAGTCCTTGTCAGTAGGGACACTACTAAGTAGTTGTTTGATCCAGCCTTCTGCCAAACCAACTGCATAGAATCCCCTTGTCCCCCGGAGATCCTGAGTTGCCGCGGCCCATTATTTAATCTAGGTTGGCTGTTCTGCAGACATGGCTTTGTTCTTTTCCAGCATTCAACGTTGCTGACAGATGTCTGCTTTGTATTCCTTTCTGAGTAATCCGTTTCCCTCTCCAAAGGTTTTAGTTTCTTCTTTCTATGCCTGGTGTTCTGAACTTTCACCCTGGCCCCTTCATTCTGCTTAGCGGTAGGTAGATGTTTTACCTCTGAAGACGCAGACCTTTCTTAAGTCCTTGGATGCTTTCTTCTTAATGGCCTTTGATGCTTTCTTCCACTGTATTCTGCTGTATTCTGCCTGGTCTCTTGGGTTGTATTCTCTCGTGTTTTCTTCTCCCTTTTGCTCTGTGTCCTGGGAGATTTCCTCAGCTATACCTTGAAGCCCTTCTGTTGAATTATGTATTTAGCCATTCTTTTCATCTCCAAGAGCACTTTCTTCCTCTGTTTCTATGCCCCCTCATTCCTCAGCTTGTTTTTAGAGAGGAGTCATTAGAAGTGCTTTAAGTTTTCCTCGGTTTGCCTCAAATGTCTAGCAGCTCTTGTTTGGCATTCAGACAGAAGGGTACAGCGCTGTTGCACGTGGCTGTCTTGGGCCAACTCTGCCGTGGCGCAGGGGAGTGTTTCCTGAGAGGTGTTTCCCTGGGATGGGAGCAGGAAATACCCACTGACAGGTCTCACCCTGTCATGTTGAGATGACATGCATTAGATGGGGTTCTGCCAAACACCAGCTAAAAGGGGGTCCCTTCTTGAGATGGCATCTCTTTTTTTTTTACCCTCCACCTCCGCAAACATTGGTCAGTTTTACTTACTTTTTCAAATCTAGCTTTTGGCTTTTTTGGCCATCTCCACTGTTCTAGTGTTTTGTTTTGTTTTGTTTTTTTAAGATTTATTTATTTATTTTGAGAGGGGCACCTGGGTGGCTCAGTCGTTAAGCGGCTGCCTTCGGCTCAGGTCATGATCCCAGGGTCCTGGGATCGAGCCCCGCATCGGGCTCCCTGCTCAGCGGGAAGTCTGCTTCTCCCTCTCCCACTCCCCCTGCCTGTGTTCCCTCTCTCACCGTGTCTCTCTCTGTCAAATAAATAAAATCTTTAAAAAAAAAAGATTTATTTATTTTGAGAGAGAGAGAGAGAGTGAGCAGGGAAGTGGGGAGAGAAACTCAAGCAGACTCCGTGCTGAGCCCGGAGCCCAACGTGGGGCTCGATCCCATGACCCTGAGATCATGACCTGAGCCGAGATCATGACCTGAGCCGAAATCAGGAGTCAGATGCTCAAACGACTGCGCCATCCAGGTACCCCTAGTGTTTATTTTTTTTATCCTTCATTATTTTTTCTGTTTTTATCTTTATTAATCTCTTCCTCCTGTGTTATTTTGTTCATTTCTGGCTTCTTGAATGCTTCAACATTTATCAACTCAAGTGGTGGCCAATCTAGTTTCATCTGGACCTGCTCTCACTGACATCCTTCTGTAATATTTTGAAGTTAATCCCAGATTACCGTATCGCTTTTTTCTGTAAATATTCTTGAACGTCTCTCTAAAACATAGACGATATATTTTAAATTAAAAAAAAGAAAGAAACATAACCGTAGTATTATCGCTAAGCAAATTAACAAGAATTCCCTGATGTCATGAATCATTCTTTTTCTTTTAATAAATGCATTGGAGGCTATCGCTGTGTTCTTTGGTGGATATGGTATTGACAATTATGCACGAATATGAAGAATTGTGAATATATTCAATGCATTCTTTCTCATGAATAAGAATGTATAATTGGGGGGAAAAAACATTTATCCATGCCCTTCAGTCTCCTAGCTCTCCATCCCTCGGGCTCTTAACTCCATCAGCAGGGTCCTGGGTGGAGACAAATAGATCAGGCCTTAAAATACTACTACAAAGATGACAAAAAACAGGTAAACCAAAGCTAAGTGGTTAAAAGAAACAAGGAAATCTAGTGAATGGGTCCTTCAGTGAATTGGCCATTCAGAATTGATTTTGTGTGCATTGACCTGGATCTGCCCTTGATTTCTCAGAAGGGAAACCCCAGGTCATCTTGGGGGCCCTCCCTGATCCTCTCAGATTGAGAGAGGGCCCCGTGGGGCCCCTGGAGCCTCAAAGACTATTTCCCAGAGATTTGTTGAAGTCTCTAATTGTCTGACATCCTTTCTTCCATTCTCCGTCTTTCTGGGATGATACTTGTTTAAACTTTCTCTTACTATCTTTTGACTGGGACTGTGGAAGAGCAAGGAGGTGAACCTGTGCTGTCAGTCCACCATTCTTTCATTGGAAATCAGTGGAACTTATTTTAAAACTTCCTGCTGGGGCGCCTGGGTGGCTCAGTCAGTTAAGCATCAGACTCTTGATTTCAGCTCAGGTCATGATCTCAGGAACGTGAGATTGAGCCCCGTGTCAGGCTCCTCAGGCTCCGTGCTGGGCGTGGAGCCTACTTGAGATTCTCTCTCTCTCCCTCTCCCTCTGCCCTTCTCTCTCTAAAATAAAAATAAATAAATCTTTCAAACAAAAATGCCTCCCACTGTTTGCTTTATAAACTCAGTTTCCTTGGGTGTTCATTCTTCCACTGGCTTCGGTGGCTGTCATGGGGTAGGCTTTCTTCAGATATTTTCTTTATTCCTTTCTTCCCCTGATGATCATCTTTATGTTCTACTGTGCATTTCTCTTTCTCTACTGGTTAACTTACTAAAAAAAAAAAAAAAAGTTTAGAACGATATTTATCAGATCAAAAGTAAACCCATCATCTCTCACCTACTCAAGACCACAGCTTTCACGTGGGTTTCATCCCCCCAGTTCCAAGATGCTTTTCTGCGATTTTAAGAATCTTTCTATATCAGTTGCATCAGATTTCGTAACCACGTTTTCAGCATTTATTAAAATGTCACTAAGTTGGTCTAGATTTATTGCTTACCACTATTTCTTGCATTTCCCTTAAAAAAAAAAAAAGATAAAACTGCTACCTTAAATTCTTCTGGAACAGGACAGGGAGTGGATGAACAGATGGATGGGTGGATGGATGGATGGATATGAGATTATTCATTTTGCTTGCCCCCATCAGAATTAAAGCCCTCCCACAGCCTCCTACTGGGCCTTCTTTTTTTTAAAGATTTATTTGTTTATTTATTTGTCAGAGAGAGAGAGTGTGTTCACAAGCAGGGAGAGTGGCAAGGCTGAGGGAGAAACAGGCCCCCCTCCTGAGCAAGGAGCCCGATGTGGGACTCGATCCCAGGACCCTGGGATCATGACCTGAGCTGAAGGCAGACACTTAACCGACTGAGCCACCCGGGGGTCCCCCTGCTGGGCCTTCTATCGGAACATGGACCTTCGTGTCTTTTCTGTGTCTGTTCCGTGTATCCGTCCTCACTGCTCTTGAGTGCTCAGTTTCTCATCTACAAAATACAGGAAGTAGTAGAGGTACCCTGTACAGTATCGGAGAGAAGGAACTGGTCCCCACTTCAGCTCAGCTGCACACACAGAACCAAGTTCCATGCCCCCTTACCCCTGACGCTTGAGTCTCCCCACGTCCTTCAGGGGACGCACCAGGTTCCCCAGCCTGGCCTGCTGCTCTTTGCCACTTTAGCCGGATCCTGCCAGCTAAGGGCTGTGTGCCCCACTGTGGACCTCCAACATCACAGGATTCGTCCTGCCACCACCACCTTGGTCGCGGAGGCAGGGAAGGCAGGCCGGTATTATTTTGAGTCCCCCGCAGGGTCAGGAGCCCTCGGGGACTGGGATGGACAGACCCCATAGCTGTCAGGGTCTCAGAGCTAGCACAGAGGAGGGCAGGAGCGTGCGCCAAAGGAGGCATCCCAGTGATAGAGCAGGTGAACGAGTGAGGGAAGTAATGGAGCAATGGGAGAATTCGTGAATGGGAGGGCTGATAAGTTGTCGACTAAATAGAAGAATGAATGGATGCAGGAGGTACAGACTTAATGGGGAAGTTAACGAGAGAATGAATGAGTGGTTGAGTAAACTGGAAGCTGTGGGTTGGGGCGTCTGGGGGCATTCACTCTCAACTGCCCCCTACCTCTTTTTTCTCTCCGTCTGCCTCCAGCGTCCTCTATTTCTCCATCCACCGCTACGAGCAGGGTCGGTTCTGGCCCCACCTGAAGGCCTCTAACTGGTCCACCATAGGTTTTGGCCGAGGCCAGGGATATACCATGAATGTGCCTTGGAACCAGGTCAGTGTCTGCCTGCCCTTTGCCCCCGAAGTTAGGCCCACCCCTGCCCTTCGGCCAGTTCGGGGCAGAGGGCAGAACGGTCCCCATCGTGCCTCTCTGTCCGCAGGTGGGGATGCGAGACGCCGACTACATTGCTGCTTTCCTGCACCTCCTTCTGCCGGTCGCCCTTGAGGTCCTGGGGGTCTGGGGTGTGTTGGGACAGGAGCGATGTTGAGGGATGGGCCGTGAGGGCAAGTGGCCTCATGTAGTCCCTTTCCCTCTCAGTTCCAGCCCCAGCTGGTCCTGGTGGCCGCTGGATTTGATGCCCTCCAAGGGGACCCCAAGGTAAGGCAGGCTCCCTGGGGTGGTACGTGGGCAGAAGGGGGTTGGCACGGAGCCAGGCTGATCCTCCACGTCCACCCCCCCCCACCCCAGGGTGAGATGGCCGCCACTCCGGCAGGGTTCGCTCAGCTCACCCACCTGCTCATGGGTCTGGCAGGAGGCAAGCTGATCCTGTCTCTGGAGGTGAGTGACTCACTTCGTGTCCCAGCCCGTGGATCGAGGAGGACGTTAGAACAAAGCTTTCAGGTCAGGCAGGAGTTTCTGTCCCAGCATTTCCCCTCACCAGCTGGACGACCTCATCCAGGTCACGGAACTTCCCCGCGCCCCTGCTTTCATTGTGTGAAACGGGCGCTGCAATCGCGGCCACCGCCTCGTAGCACTGCTCAGTGAACGAAACGGAAGTCACCCTTCAAATTCCTCGTTGCTTGATATGTAGTCAGCACCCCTAGTATTATTATTACTGTTCTTCCCTGGTAACGCCTGGTTCTGTCCTGACCCCCCCACACACACTCCTTTCCCAGGGTGGCTACAACCTGCGCTCCCTGGCTGAGGGCGTCAGCGCCTCCCTCCACACCCTCCTGGGAGACCCCTGCCCCATACTGGAGTCTCCTGGTGCCCCCTGCCCAAGGTGAGCCCCGGTGGAGGAGGAGAAGAGCGGGACCCCTGCTGCCCACCCGCTGGCACATTTGGTCACATTTCCCCTCCCCTGCCCTCTAGTGCCCAGGCGTCACTCTCCTGCGCTCTGGAAGCCTTGGAGCCCTTCTGGGAGGTCCTTGTAAGATCAGGTAGGAGGCAGGGAGGGGGCTAGGTGGGGAGTCAAACATGGAAAGAGCCCTTGGGAGACACTCTCTTCCCAGACCCTCCTGGGGCTTCCCTGGGCCCCCTTGGTGGGGGAGGGTCAGGCCCTCTCTCGCACTAGACCCTGGTTTCAGGCCTCCCGCCCCTTTCACGTTTTGGTAAACGGAGTTCCAGAGTATTCCAGGGATCCAGGGTGGGGGAGTAGGGTGAAAGTGGCCTCCCCTTAACAGCTGAGACCCTGGAGGAGGACTTCCTGGAGGAGGAGAACGTGGAGAAGGAAGAAGAGGGACCGTGGCAGCCCCCGGCGCTCCCAATCCCGACGTGGCCGGTGCTACAGGCTCGCACAGGGCTGGTCTATGACCAGCGGATGATGGGTCACTACAACTTGTGGGACAAGTATGCAGTCAGAGGGCCACCGCCTAAGTGGACAGGGAGATCCCTCCCCCTTCCTCAAGCACTAAGCCCTGCCTCTGGTTCCTGCCCACCTCCCCCCACCCCTCCCCAGCCACCACCCAGAGATGCCTCAGCGAGTCTTTCGGATCATGCGCCGTTTGGAAGAACTGGGCCTTGCGGGGCGCTGCCTCACGTTGCCCGCACGTCCCGCCACGGATGCCGAACTGCTCACCTGCCACAGGTCAGGGACCCCACCCCCACCCCCACCCCGTGCCTGGGGTGGGATGAGGCCTCGGGGCATACATGCCACCCCGGGGGGGGGGTGTGGCTGGAGTAAGGGCTCTCCTGTCCCTGTGGGACACGAGAGGGCCCGGAGCCACCTGACTGTCCCCTGTGCCCCGTCTGTGCCTCCAGTGCTGAGTACGTGGGTCGTCTGCGGGCCACAGCGAAGATGAAAACCCGGGAGCTGCACCGCGAGGGCTCCAACTTCGACTCCATCTACATCTGCCCCAGCACCTTCGCCTGTGCACAGCTGGCCACTGGCGCCGCCTGCCGCCTGGTGGAGGCTGTGCTGGCCGGCGAGGTACCTCCTCCGCGGGGTGGGGCGCCGCTCCGGAGAGGTGGGGGTGGGGGACCGAGAGAGGTGGCCCTGGGAGGGCGGGGCGGGGCCTGCGGGGGGGGATCCCCCCCCTCCGCTCCCCGGAGGCCTTGCTTGCTGGCCAGTGCAGCGGGGGGATGGGGGCTGCAGGCTGGAGGCCCCTAGCAGCTGGGGGTAGTGGCTGGGACGGAAGGGGAGAAGAAAAGGGAGAGAAAGCAGTGAGGGCAGGTGGTCTGATTTTGCTTCCTGCCCCTCCCCCCCAGGTTTTGAATGGCACTGCTGTGGTGCGTCCCCCAGGACACCATGCAGAGCGGGATGCCGCTTGTGGTTTTTGCTTTTTCAACTCTGTGGCTGTGGCTGCTCGCCATGCCCAAGCCATCAGTGGGCATGCGCTGCGGTGAGGGCTCCCTGCGCCGCGCTCCCCCCGCCCCCCCCCCCCCCCCCCCCCCCCCCCCTGCCGCCGCCGCAGCCCAGGGCTTACTCAACAGGCCCCTTGGTGCAGCGCCCCCAGGACTTACCCAGAAGCACCCAAGAGCACAATCGCCCAGCACTTCCCCAGAAAAGGACCAAGGATCTAGCCTTGCAGTACTTCCCCAGATAGGACCCCCAGACTGTGGCACCCAGGTAGTTATAAAACAAGATCCAGGGTCCCCCTGCCCCCTCATTTCTGGCCCCTGAGGGCTGTTGTGGCAGAATTCAGGGCCCAGGTCCCCAGTGCTTACTAAAGAAGACCCAGTATCCGGCTGCCCACATTTACCCATCCTGGGGGCAGGAGGCTCTGGCCCTGAGCACTTGCTTGGGCCCACAGTGAAGACCTCAGGACCCAGGCTCTGGCTTTCACCCTTCCTCTGATGGGACCCGCCAGCCTGCCCCACGCTGCTTTCCCCAGGGACCCAGAGTTTTGCCACCAGCAATAAAATGCCCCTGCAGACAGACCCTGCCCTCTCCCCGAGTGGGCCAGTGTCCCAGGTCACTGAGGAGCCGTTCCCTCCCCAGGATCCTCATAGTGGACTGGGACGTCCATCATGGTAATGGAACTCAGCACATATTTGAGCAAGACCCCAGGTGAGGGGCCAGGGCAGGGGGGGCAGCCATGCCTCAGGGGTGGCCGAGCGGGCAGGGGCGGCCCACTAAGCAGCCGTTGTCCCCCTTCCCACCCCGGCAGCGTGCTGTACATTTCCCTGCACCGATACGACCACGGCACCTTCTTTCCCATGGGGGATGAGGGCGCCAGCAGCCAGATAGGCCGGGCCACAGGCACCGGCTTCACTGTCAACGTGGCCTGGAACGGGCCCCGCGTGGGCGACGCCGACTACCTGGCTGCCTGGCATCGTCTGGTGCTCCCTATTGCCTACGAGGTACGGTACGGGCTGTACGTGGCAGTAGACCGTGTGGGGGACCGCGGGCCCGCACCTGTCCCGATGGGCGGCCGTAGTGAGGGCTGTGTTGGGGGCTGATTCTGCGAAGGCCTTGGCCTATTCCTGCCTCCGCAGAGTGGCTCTACATGACCGCCTCTCTGCGCGTGACCGTAAGGGACTCCTGGGTACTTGCGGGTGGCCTTCGGTGGGTACGTGTGAGGTGGCCCCGCGCGCCTGCCGGCTCTATGGAGCAGCGCGTGCAAGGCGGGGGGGGGTGTGAGTGCGTGTGTGAGGCTGCACAAATGGGTCTTGGCCACTACCGTTTCTCTCTCTGGTGGCTGTGACGCCCCATGTCGCTGCACACTGCGCTCTCGGCGACAGCTGGTGTGTGGCTTTCTTTGTGTGGGAGGGTGTGTGGGACAGGCCTCTCTCTGCCTGTCTGCCGCGGCTGTGTGTCTCTCTGACTGGCAGGGGCCTGTCCTTGCCTGACTCTGCGTGAGGGGCTGTTAGGTGACTGCCTTCTTGGGGGGCATCGCGTGTGTGTATGTGTCTGATTAGCACGATGTCGGTTCAGTCCGTATGTCGCTGTCTGACCACATATGGGTATGCGACCATTTTCTGTGTGTAGCACTTGGGTTGTCACCTTCTGCGATGGAAGTGTGCGCGCACCTCCCTTTGGCGCCGTTTATATAAAGCGCTGTGTTGTTGTGCACATATGTCCCATGTCACCGTCTCCTGACATCTGAGTCTCTACATTGCACGTCTCTGCCTCATGTCCCCATCTGTCCGTTTCTAGAAGTGTCTCCATGTCTCTGTGTGTCACATCTCTAAGTCTCTGTTTGGTGCGTCCACGCCTCTGTTGATCTGTCTCCATGTCTCTGTGTCTCTCCAGCCCCAAGGCTGTCCTGTGTCTCCACGTCCTCCCCTTGCTATTTTCAGGGCCCTGGTCTTGTGTCCCCCAGTCTCCTGGTCTCCAGCTCTCTGACTTGCATCTGTGTGTGTCGGGGGCGCCCTCACCTGCTGGCTACCCAGGCCTCCGCACTCATGCCCATGTGTCTCTTCTCTCCCTGCTTCAGTTTAACCCAGAACTGGTGCTGGTCTCGGCTGGCTTTGATGCTGCACGGGGGGACCCGCTGGGCGGCTGCCAGGTGTCACCTGAGGGCTATGCACACCTCACCCACCTGCTGATGGGCCTTGCCAATGGCCGTATCATCCTAATCCTAGAGGTAACCCTCTCGGTCCCTCTTCCTACGGTGGGAGGAGGGCGGTTTGGAAGGCTGGAAGTCCTGCCCTTCCGGCTGGCTGGCTGAGACACTTGGGGCAATTTCCTAAAATCGGCTTTGAGTGTCCCCGCCTGGGACTGTCGGCACATACTGGGCATTCAGCGTAACACCAGCTTAACAGTCTTAACTGAGTGCTCGGTACGTGCCATTTGCTCTTCTCGGCACTCCGTGTATATTATTAATTCACTTACTTGACAAAGCAGCCTGCTGAGGTCGAGTCTGCTGGCCTTGTCATTTCCCTCTCTCAGGAGCGGGGAAACTGAGGCACAGCAAGCTGTAGTGACTAGCCCGAGGTCCCACGCTCAGTAACGGCAGAGCCAAGCAACCTGGCTCCAGCGTCTAAGCTTTTTACCACTACTTGAGCTGCCTCTAGCAAGCTCTCCAAAGTAAACCCACTGACCTTTTGTAAGTCACTCGGTGCCCCTGCCCCCCCCCATGCCTCAGTTTCCTCATCTATAAGATGGGGCTGGCTACTCGTGGAAAAGTGCCTGGCATGCGGTAAGCACTGTCTAAGTAGTTTCTTCTCGTCGTGAGTCATCGCACCAGGTTGAACCCTCTCAGCCACCTTACGTGCTGCTTTTCACTGCTTCGGGGATAAGGCCAGTTGCTGGCAGAGATTAATTGGCTGCTCTCGGGTCCCACGGTAGGCCCGGGCCTGCTTGTGGCAGGGCAGGGGAGTGGTCGAGGACATGAACTCTTCTATCCGGAAGCCTGGCTCCCCACCCCAGTGCTGCCTCCCACCAGTTGTTAGGACCTCAGACACATTATCTAACCACTCCGAGCCTCAGTGTCTTTATCTGAAGAAAGAGCAGAGACTGGGGTGCCTAAAGAATGTGAGAAAAGGGGGTTCCCGTGCAGATTGAGCACATGTGGTTGTTAAGGATCAAGAGAGTCGACACACATGACATGCTCAAAATAGGGTCTGACACATCGCAAGCACTTCATGCATACCCGCCATTACTGACGTTACCCTCAGTGTTACTGTCGTTGTGGTAATTATTCTCTTGCACTTGACGTCATAGTTTATCCCCCGCAATAACCACCCCACACGGTGAGTACTGCCCATCTGACAGATGGCACTTCCCCTCACTTGTCCTCACCCTCCAGACTTTCAGGGCCCCGAAGGGGGATTGGGAGGCAGAAACTCTTGCCTCCCAAATTCCATGAGGACCCTCCCCCCATCATGCCTTTTCCTCCCCTTTTTTCTTAACAAAGGGTGGCTACAACCTGACATCCATCTCGGAGTCCATGGCTGCCTGCACCCGTTCCCTCCTTGGGGACCCACCACCGCTGCTAACCCTGTCGCAGCCCCTGCTGTCAGGGGCCCTGGCCTCCATCACCGAGACCATCCAAGTCCATCGCAGATACTGGCGCAGCTTGCGGGTTATGAGTGAGCAGGCGTGGGGAACGGGGGGGGCGTGGGGGGCTCGGGAGAGGGCAGGGATCAGATGCAGGATAGGAGATAGCACCCACACTCAAGGATCTCCCTCCTGTGGTTCCAGAGGTCGAAGACAAGGAGGGACCCTCCAGTTCTAAGCCGATCCCCAAGAAGGAGACCCAGCCAGCCAACCGTGGGTCAGCTGTGGGGATGAGCGCACCAGACGGGAACATTCTGGATGCGGACGCAGGGAAGGCTGCCTCAGCATCATCCGTAGAAGTGGCCACTCCAGACCAAGCTAAGTCAGAGACTGCCGTGGTGGAGCTCAATCAGGACCAAACCTCGGAGTCTCCCACCCGGGAAGCCACGGCGGACCAGACCCCCTCAGAGGCAGCCACGGGAGGGGCCGTGCTGGACCAGACCATGGTGGAGTCTGCCGCGGTTGGAGCCACGCCAGGCCAGACCCCCTCAGAGGAAGCCGTGGGGGGAGCTGAGGTGATCCAAACCCCTCCAGCCTTATGTACTGACAAGCAGACTCCTCCAGCCTCACCTGCGCAAGGAGCCACCCGCCAGATATCCCCCAGTAAGCTGCCTGAGAATCTCAGGACCTTGGGCCTAAACAGCGAGGCTCAGGTAAGCCCTACCACACCCAGGTCGGGGGCGGGGGGGCGGGGGGAGGAAGAAGGGGCAAGAACCTGGCCTCTCAGAGGCATCTCTTACCTCTGTGCATCCAGGAGGCCCCAGAATCTCAGATCCCAGAAGAGGAGCGGCTGCTAGGAGAGGCAGCTGGAGGTGAGGACAGAGATGATTCCGTGCTGATTCAGAGCTTTGGGGACTGTGCCAACACTGACCAGGTGAGCTCGGGTCAGGGAGAAGACCGGCGGCCTTTTGTTGCCCGTGTGTGCCTCCACGTAGGAGCGTGCGGTGTAAGAACACGTAATACGGAGATGGAGTCCCTAGCTGACTCCCATTTCACCCACTCCAGGTCATGTTTTATGCCGTGACACCGCTGCCCTGGTGTCCCCATTTGGTGGCAGTACGTCCCATACCTGAATCGGGCCTGGACGTGACCCAACCTTGTCAGGACTGTGGAACGCTCCAGGAGAACTGGGTGTGTCTGTCTTGCTATCAGGTACGCAGCAGCGGAGGGGGGTGGACGGTGGTGGGGCGGAGGGCGGCCCAGGAGCCGACTGCACGTGGCTGCTGATCCCTACCGGATGCTCCCTCCCCAACCTCAGGTCCACTGTGGCCGTTACGTCAGTGCCCATATGCTCCAACACCACGAAGTCTCAGGACACCCGCTGGTCCTCAGCTACGTCGACCTGTCTACCTGGTGTTACAACTGTGAGGCCTATGTCCACCACCAGGTGGGTCCTGGGCAGCCCCGAGAATGCGTGCACGCGCGCATAACCCTCTCACACACACCTCCTGTGCCGGGGCAAGGGGAGATCGGAGAGTGCGGGAGAAGGGTTGTCGAGGGCTGGGGTGGGGCAGCCCCCTGGCTGAGGTAGAGGGGTCCTCACTCTCACTTACCCTCTCTTGCGCCCTCAGGCTCTCCTGGATGTGAAGAACGTCGCTCACCAGAACAAGTTCGGGGAGAACATGCCCCACTCACACTAAATCCCAGCACGTGCCCCTCTTCTCCACCTTCTGAGCACCTGGATGAGGGGCAGCCTCACTCCATCCCATCCTGAAGACTCTTTTCACCTCCCCAAGGGTGCCGATTTAAGCATAAATACCTGTAAGAGGACGGTGATGATCAATTGTAAATCTCTCTGCCCACTGTCTGTTGGAGGGACTCCATCTTCTCTGCCCGGGAAGGAAAGCGGGGGGGTTCAGTGGTCCCAAGAGGGGGCTCATATCACAAAGCTGATGCTTTGGAGAGAGGGGCATCAACTGACAATATATAGCAGAGTTCCATTTGTAATAAAGGACAAGCTGTTAGAAAACCTGGAGAGAGCCTTTTAATCTTAAGCGGGTGAAGAACCTCACACCCCTGGCCAACCCCTGGTCTGCTGGGTAATGAAGCAATGAGGGCATGGGTTTCTACCAGGTCAACCCCCTGCCCATCCAGTGTCCAAAAAACAGACTGGAAATAGGGCAAGCAGCTTGACTGGCTCGACTATAGATTAAATGGTGGAATCGCAGAGCAAATGAGTGCCTGCCTTAGAAATAGCCTCACAGCCAGTCCCAGCTACAGCCCGGGCTGAGAAGGCAAGACAACCATTGGGAAGTGTCCACACCAGGCCTCAGTCTCCCCGTCTGTCTTTTTGTCCTGATTCGGGTGTGGGTGGTCTGGGTTTCCCATACTTAGATTTGGTGGTCATGGGTAACCTCCTAGAGGAAGGAGTGCCTGTCACTGGCCAGGGATGAGGAACTAGAGGTTAGTTTGGGGGTTTTATTTCTCCCACATAATGAGAACTTCTTTGGCAACTCAGAACAGTTCAGGCTGAGGTTTCTTAGGCTTTTCTTCATGGCCACCTTAAGAACCCAGGATACCCACTGGGTGGGCCACCAGAGCCCCACCCAGTCAAGAAGAAGGGGAAGGGGGCTGTGGCCAGCTCAGTGATCCCTCTTTTAAGGTACATTCTGGATGCCCCCCTCAACAACATGGGCTTCCATCTCATTGGTCAGACCTGTGTCACATGGCTGCCATAGCTGCAAGGGAGTCTGGGAAAGGTTTGAGCTTGACACCCATCCACTTCAAATCAGGTTCCTAAGGCCCTGATACAGTAACCCCCCTGCAACTCTTTCCCTCCAGCAACAGGCACAACCCTCTCCCCCAAGCTGCTTTCCCAAAAGCCTGCTTGAGACAGCCCAGGCTCTGCTTGAGGCCCTCATGAGACCTACGCCAAAGTCTGGCCACTCAGGGCAAAAATGTGACACCCTCCGTAAGCCAAAAACATGAAATCACCTCCCAGAGCGGGGGCAAGGTAAGGGAGAGGTGCAGCAGGGGGGACACAGGGAGGTCCCGCCGCTGGCTCGGTGCACCCCCAAGACCACCTCCTTTGCGGCCGGTTGCTGGTTACTGGCGAGGGCACGACCCCACACCCACCCCGGGGGAGGGGGGGGGGCGTGCCGGCGGAGGGGCTTGGGAGCGCTGTTGCGCATGCGTTCTCCCTCTGCCCCTCCCGGCCCCCGCCTCCCCACACCTCTACCCTTTGGGGGCCGGGTGGGAACATCTCCTCCTGTGTCAGTCCTGTCAGAGCTGCGGTGGGTTCGCGTCCGAGCACTCCCGCCTTGCCCAGGACTGAGGTAAGCCAGGTCGCCAGGCCTCCAGCCCCCGGCCCCCGAGCGGGGAGGCCTTTCCGCGGTGGGCTGTGGGGGTGCGACGGAGGTGGCATTGGAGGGGGACCCTTCCCCTACCTCCTCCCATTCTCGCTCAGCCGCCTTAGTGGAGACAGACCTGGGTAGGGGTGTCCGTGAGTGCGGGAAGCAGGGGCTGTGGGCCCGAGCCTCGGGACTGGGCCGCCCCGGCGCCCTAGAAAGAACCGGACGAGCTGGGCTGGCCGGAGCACAGGCGACAGCTTTAGGGGAGAGCCTGTGGGTCCCCCAGCTGCACCTCCCCTGGCTGAGTCAAGGGAAGCATGGCCCGGCGCGGGTGTCCGTTTGTAGGGGCCCAGGTTCCGGTGCCTCCCTCCCCTCGACGCGCACCCCTGGATCCTGGGCGAATCCACACGCCGTGGGCCACGTGGCTCCAGGTGGGGGTAACAGGGTCTCAGGGGCCCTTTGGGGACGCTCGTAGCTCTCGGCCCACAGCAAGTGGCTCAGTGTCCCTCGCGGAGGGGGAGACCCCCACTGCCGTCGGTCTGGACCCCCGCGGGGCCGTTTGACCTCCGGCTGGTAAACCACCACCGCCACCTCGCTTGCGGCGGCCTCGCTGTTCCGCGCGGACACAGCGGCCCGACAGGGGGTGGCCCAGCCTCTCGAGGGCGCTGGGAAGAGTCGCGGGGCCCTTAGGCGGCCCCCCCTGCTGCAGGCCCACGTCCCAGGAAATCATTCTTGCTGCTCTTTACCGCTACTGGAGCCCTTTGCCGGGGGAGAGCCCGTCTCGCGTGTCCCCGGCCTCGGGCGCGGGCACCCTCAGATTCCCAGCTGCCCGGACCCCACACTCGAGAGTTAACCTTCACCCCTCTCCTGCCCCGCGCGCTGCCTTTGGCTCTGAGAGCAAACCCTGGCAGTGCGTTCCACCTTAGGATCTGACCTCCCCATCGATGATGGCCTTGGACCCCTGCAGCGGCCTCCTCGCTGCTTCCGCCCTCGCCCTTGCCTCTCGGTCTGTCCTCGCTGCTACATCTTCTCCCTCTTTCTGTCCCCAAGGGTTCGGGGGGGCCCCCCCACCAGAGATCTGTCCTCAGTTTACCTCTCTTCACCGTGGCCCCCCTTCTTTCTGGGCCAGAGCATCTAATAATTATTGCCAGGAGTCTCTCTGGGCCGAGGACCTCACAGCTGCATCCCCACCTGGGACCTTCCCCGCCCCCCAACCCTGACCTCCAGATCCCAAATTCAACAGAACCCCCCACAGAGACCTCGAACCCACCAACTGCCCCCAAACTGCCATTCTCCCCGGGTTTCCAGAGAGACTCGGGGTAGCAGCCATTATGATGCATTTCCTGAGGCCACACACGGAACCGAGGCCAGGATGTGTATTGAATAAGTTTAATGGTAATTTGCTATTAATAGCTAACACTAATTGAGCACCTGCTGTGTGCCCATCCTCTCCTAACTGCATGATAATTTACTTGCTTATCTTGTTGATGGTCTCCTTCTCACTTCCAGAATCTAATCCTCCCAAGGGCAGGGATTTTAGTCTATTTTGTTCGCTGCCACTTCCCCACCCCCCACACCTCCCACCTTCCTTCCCCACACCCATCACAATACCCCGCTCGCCGGAAGACGCTGGAAATAATGCATGAAAATTAAATAATAATAAAGAGGCCTAACATTAACTGAGCATCTCCCACCTGTTTATCACCTATTGTTGCAGTATATTTCACTGATTTATCTTTGTTGTTGTCACGTTCCTTGGGGGCTGGTGTTTGTTAACTATTTTACCTATTTTTCCCAGTTGTTTGTCCTTGCCACACAGTGGGTTCTCAATAGCCGCATGCTGAATACGTAAGAAAGACTAAATTCTAATGTTAATGGCTAACCGACCTCATAATTTGCCGATTTATTTGATTTATTGTCTCCACCTTTTAGAATACAAACTCCCTGGGGACAAGAATGTTGCTCGGCATATGCTTTGTGACTGGCACGGTGCCGGGCTTGGGGCTCGACGGTGATACGATCCAAAACCAAAATCAAAACTGACCCAAATCCCCACCCTCCCTCGGGAAGGGGGAGGGGCTGCTAATGGGCAGGAGCTTTTTTTCCCCGGGTGATGAAAATGTTCTTAGATTATGGCGATGGTTGCACAACAGTGTGAAAATGCTAAAACAAAACAAAACAAAACAAAACATTGAATTGTTTACTTTTAACTAGATTAACTGTGGTATATAAATTACATCTAAATAAAGCTGCTCTTAAAATCCCCGCCTTCACGTAGAGGGAATGAGATGGACAGAGATTAAGCAACATAAATAAAGTATTAGGCCTACTAGAAAGTGATTTGCACACACCTAGGCACTTAGTAAATGTTGATTCAATGACACCCAGCTGACCCCTTGCCCCCGAGGGGTCTTGCCTAACCTCCCCCCGCCCCTCCCCCTTGTCTTCTGTTCTCTTTCCCTCGCAGGGCCTGCTGTCCACATCCCTTCCCTGAGCTGTGCACCAGGGGAATGGCGCTGCCGAGAAATGCGAACATGTTTGATCTGGGCCTGGGCACGTGGAGCCTTAGTTCCGAGGAGGAGAGCCAGAGGGCTCAGGCACCCTCCAAGAGTGTCGGGAAGCAGCTGCCCGAGTACAAGGCGGTCGTGGTGGGCGCGAGTGGCGTGGGCAAGAGTGCGCTCACCATCCAGCTGAACCACCAGTGCTTCGTGGAAGACCACGACCCCACGATCCAGGATTCCTACTGGAAGGAGGTTGCCCTGGGCCATGGGGGCTGCATTCTGAACGTGCTGGACACGGCAGGGCAGGCCACTCACAGGGCCCTGCGTGACCAGTGTGTGGCGATTGGGGATGGCGTGCTGGGGGTCTTCGCCCTGGATGACCCTTCGTCTCTAGCCCAGCTGCAGCAGATGCGGGCCACCTGGGGCCCTCACCACACCCAGCCCCTCGTCCTTGTGGGCAACAAGTGTGACCTTGTGAGCACCACTGGAGATGCTCGGGCCGCTGCTGCGGCCCTTGCGAAGAGCTGGGGGGCCCCCTTCGTGGAGACCTCAGCCAAGACCCGGCAAGGCGTAGAGGAGGCCTTTACCCTGCTCATCCATGAGATCCAAAAGGTCCGGGAGGCCATGGCAAAGGAGGCCATGACAGGGCCGGGTGGGGATAAGGCCCGGCACCAGAAGGCCATGTGCCGCTGTGGCTGTTCTGTGGCCTGAAGATCTCGGTCGAGAAGAGTGGCCTGCCCCCAGGCCAGGGTGGTGGATCCTAGACATGAGACCACCTCACCCCCCCCACCCCACCCCCCACCCCAGCAACTAGCTGCGTGGGACACTGTTGGTGTACTGGGGATAGATGAATCCCTCTGTTGGGGAGATTTTCATTTGGTGATGGGCATTTGGTAACGTGGGGCATCGTATTGGTTATTGGCGAGTGAAGAGATTGTGTGCCAAATTAAATAAACGGTGTTCTCAGGTTTCAAAGCTGCCTCTGTGCCAAGTGTTACGTGCGTGGGAGTGAAACTGGGGAGAATGTTACTTGAGTTGTGAGAATTCTTTCATTCAAGAAATGTTGGGGGGAGCCCACTGTGTGCCAGGCCCTGCTTTGGGTGCAAAGGACGTAGAAGCAAACAAGACCCTTAGAAATCCCTGGTCTCGCAGATATAACATGAGGCTATGTATTAAAAAGCGACGGTAGGAATAGAGTGACAGGGAGGTGAAGGAAAGCCTTACTGAGTAGGTGACATTTGAGTAAAAACGTGCAGGGAAATAGGGCCCGTGCGAAGGTCGGAGCATAAACCAGCTCCCGCCACAACTCGAAGTATCTTCAGGTGGGGGGTGAGAATACAGATAGCACTCCCCATACTATATTACTGAATATCTAAACTTTACAAATCAAGCTAACAAATGCAGACAACGCGTCCTATCTCCCTGCCTTGACAGGTACACTTTCTTCATGACCTGGAGGCCCAGGTTTGAATTGCTCAGACGCAGAGCCCCATGCCCCACGCAAGGAGGTGTGTGTTGGGAAGGCCTGCAGCCCACTCCCTCTCTTCCCACTGGTAGCCCTTACCCCCCCCCCCCAGAGCAGGAAGGCTCATGGGTGCCTGTGGACAGGGCCGGAGGCACAGCTCAAAACCACTCAGGCCTCACAGCCACCCCTTGGTCCTCAGAAGGATGGACCCCAGGAAAATGCTGCTGCAGGCCCTGAAAGTGTCCTCAGAGCTCTGTGGGGTGGGGCCCGGGATCTGGGTGGTTACTGCCATTGTCTTTACGGATGCCTCCCCCAGTGAGAAGAGAGGCAGAGAGTGGGGGAGGGGGGACTCTAAAGGGCCCACCCAGGGCAGGGGGCCCTCTGCCTTTGTCTAAGGGTCACCACCGCCACTCAGCCCACCAGCCCCCCCCCCCTTGAAACCGCCACTCTGGACAAGCATATAGCTGCTTCAGATTGCATTTATTGTGGGGCCAAAGGCGGGGATCTTGGGGTTCTAGGGCTGCAACTGCGTCTTAGGCTGACGGGGTAAGCCGCTCTCGATGTGCCAACGGGGAGCAGTCGGGGCGTTGGGGTGGGGTGGTCCTGGGCCCGAGGGTGCTCAGGGGGGCAGGAGGCGGCGAACCGGCGCCTGGGGCGAGGGGGTCTCCAGGCGCTTCACCCGCAGCAGGGCCCCCAGCACTCCCTCCGGCGGCACCTCGGGGCCCAGATCCTGGTCGGCGGCACGGCGGAGGCGGCGCGGGACAGCCATAGCCTCGGGGTCGGCGCTCCCCGCGAGGATTCGCCCCAACAAGTACCTGCCGGAGAGCCCGAGAGGAAGGTAGTGAGGCTGTGCCCGCGCATCAACGCCGCTGCCCTAGGGCCCAGACGGCCCTGCAACCCCATACTGCCCGGGGACCCGGCCGTCTCCAGCCCACTGCTTTCCAGTTGTCCCTGCCTCCCAGCCCGCACACTACGGTTTCCCTGCCTCCCACTCCTCCCCCCAGCAACCGGACATCGGAGCCCCCTCCCCCGCCCGGGACCTGCAGTCCCGTTCCCCACTGTCTCCGCAGCCAAGCACCTCTGACCCTAATACCTTGGGTGGCGGTCCCCACTCCCTCCTAGGATCCCAGGGCCTAGGTGTTGGCACCACGCTGTGAGGCAGGCCCCCCCCGCCGCCCCTCGCCCTCCTACCCCTGCCCCCACCCCCGGCCCGCCACAGCCCGGGGATGCAGGCGCCGCCCCCTGCCCACCCCTTGCCGGGGTACCTCAGCAGCTCCGGGTCCACATCGGGCGTCTCGTCGCCGGCGTCCTCGGCCTCTGGGCCGGTGGGGCCGTCATCGTAGACCGGGGGCCGGGGTCTGAGCGCAGCGGCGGGGGCAGGGCCGGGGACGAGCTGGGCCGCGAGGGCGGCGGGGTCCAGGCGGGCGCGGAGCAGGGCGCGGGCCAGCTGAGCGGCGGGCGCGTCGGGGTCGTCCTCCAGGCCCAGCGCGGGGTCGTTGGTGCGGGGGGTGCTCCAGGCTCGCAGCAGCTGCGCCAGGACGCGCGCCTGCTGATCCTCGGCCTCCTGCGCCTCGGCCCGCGCCCGCTCCTGCCTCTCGGCCTCCAGCAGGTGCGCCAGCGCCCGCGCCAGCTCCTGCACGGCCCCCGCCGCCTCGCCCCGGGGCACTGCTCTCCGGAAGCGGCGGGGGCCGCCAGCCTCGGCCAGGGGCGACGAGGCTGCGCCCAGGCCGCGGGGCTCCTGCCGGAAGACGTGGCAGGGGGGAGATGTCAGCGTCTGTCAGGCCAGGGACACCCCCCCCACCCAGGGGAGCCCCGTGGACCTCAAACACCCCCAGATGCCACCAAAGGCACCGCGGCCCCTCAAATATACCCAAACACCCCTAAGGCCACCGGAGACCCCCCCCCCCGACCATTTCCTAGTGATTCAGAATTTGCCCCAGGGTTGCCGGAGAACAGGTGTCTTTATAGGAGTGGTGGTGGCGTTGATGAGAGCCATAGATTTTTCTATGTTGATGCTGTGGACTATAAGAACCATATTTGCATTTTATAGGTTCCTACTGTTCACTTGTTTTGCCCAAAAGGTAGCAGACTGTTCCGCACCTTGCATTTCGGAATCTATGTCTAGATCAGTACTTTCAGTACATCCTTTCTCTCTCTCTTTTCTTTCTCCTCCCTCCCTCCGTGTCTCTCTCCCTCCCTCTTCTCTCTCTCTCTCTGTTTTCCTTTCTTTCCTCTTCATTGAATCTCTTTTGTATGGATGTACACATTTTATTTAACCAGTCTTTGATTGATGGGCATTTACGGTGTTTCCAATCTTTTGCTATTGGTGGGGTTTTTTTTAAGATTTTATTTTTTAAGTAATCTCTACACCCAATGTGGGGCTGGAACCCACAACCCCATCAAGAACCTGGCGCTCCACGCTGTGAATTGTGCAAGACTGTTGAATCACAGATCTGTACTTCTGAAACAAATAATGCAATATATGTTAAGAAAAAAAGAAGAAGAAGAAGATAGCAGGAGGGGAAGAATGAAGGGGGGGAAATCGGAGGGGGAGACGAACCATGAGAGACGATGGACTCTGAAAAACAAACTGAAGGTTCTAGAGGGGAGGGGGGTGGGGGGATGGGTTAGCCTGGTGATGGGTATTAAAGAGGGCACGTTCTGCGTGGAGCACTAGGTGTTATGCACAAACAACGAATCATGGAACACTACATCAAAAACTAATGATGTAATGTACAGTGATTAATATAACAAAAAAAGAAAAAGAAAAAGAACCTGGTGCTCCAGTGACTGAGCCAGCCAGGCACCCCCACCCCCAATCTTTTGCTATTCTTGTAATGTTGGGATGTATAATCTTGTTCATATATCATTTGGCATGTGTGTAAATCTTTCTGTAGAATAAATTACCCAATGATTAATTTTCAACTCAAGACAGTTTTAAAGCAATTTCAGAAAGTTTAAAGAAATAAAAACCGGTATCAGAAGTATGAGTAAGGAACAAAAGACCATAAAAATGACTATGAAGATTTGAAAAAGAAACACCTAGAACATCTACAAATATGTTTTAAGTGAAATTCAAAATGAAAAAGGCAAGGGGCGGGGCGCCTGGGTGGCTCAGTCGTTAAGCGGCTGCCTTCGGCTCAGGTCGTGATCCCCGAGTCCTGGGATCGAGCCCCGCATCGGGCTCCCTGCTCGGCGGGAAGCCTGCTTCTCCCTCTCCCTCTCCCCCTGCTTGTGTTCCAGCTCTCGCTGTGCCTGTCTCTGTCAAATAAATAAAAAACATCTTGGGAAAAAAAAAAAAGAAAAAGGCAAGGGGCTCCTGGCTGGCTCAGTGGGTGGAGCCTGTGACTGGATCTCTAGGTTGTGAGATCCAGCCCTGATCCAGCCCTACGTTAGATGGAGAGATTACTTAAAAGTGAAATCTTTCAAAAGAAATTAAGTGGGCCAGTTGAACAGTAGATTCAGTCCAGCAGAAGGAAGTAATAGGATTGAACAGAGCTTGAGAACAGATCCACAAATATTGACACTAGCTACATGGCAGAAAGGACACTCAGCACAGTGGAGACAGGACCGACTCCTTCAAAAACCCATGCAGGAGCAACAAATGACCCAAATGTGGGAGCAATGGAAAGGAAACGATAAATAGGGGCGCCTGGGTGGCTCAGTCGTTAAGCATCTGCCTTCGGCTCAGGTCACGATCCCAGGGTCCTGGGATCGAGTGCTCTCTCTCTCTCTGACAAATAAATAAAATATTTTAAAAAGGAAAAGATTAATAAATCTGACTACATGAAAATTAAGGATTTCTTTTTGTCCCAAGACACCATAAAAAGAATGAACAGTCAAACCAGAGCGGGAGGGCGCCTGGGCGGCTCAGTTGGTTAAGCGACTGCCTTCGGCTCAGGTCATGATCCCAGGGTCCTGGGATCGAGTCCCGCATCGGGCTCCCTGCTCGGCGGGGAGTCTGCTTCTCCCTCTGACCCTCTGCCCTCTCATGCTCTCATTTTCTCTCTCAAATAAATAAATAAAATCTTTAAAAAAAAAAAAAACCAGAGCAGGAGAAGATGCTTACAACACAAATAGTCAATAAGGGATTAGTATCCAATATACCAAAAAAAATGCCTAAAAAGCAAAGAGAAAAACAAACTAATATAAAAATAGGGAGAGGCTCCTGGCTGGCTCAGCTGGAAGAGCTTTGGACTCTTGATCTCGGGGTAGTGAGTTGAGCTCCACATGGGTGTAGAGATTACTTAAATAAAAAATAAAAGCTAGAGGGGCGCCTGGGTGGCTCAGTCGTTAAGCGTCTGCCTTCGACTCAGGTCATGATCCCAGCGCCCTGGGATCGAGCCCCGCGTCCAGCTCCCCACTTGGCAGGGAGTCTGCTTCTCCCTCTCCCACTCCCCCTGCTTGTGTCCCCCCTCTCGCTGGGTCTCTCTCTGTCAAATAAATAAATATAATCTAGAGACCCAGCGAGAGAGGGAACACAAGCAGGGGGAGCGGGAGAGGGAGAAGCAGGC